TGGGGGTGGAGATCCCACCTTGAGTTTCCTTTCCAACTGGAGATAGAATATAAAATTCTTCCTCTTCAGTGTTGAGAGATAGAATATAAAATTCTTCCTCTTCCATTTTCCAGTCCGTCTTTACCCTGAGAAAAGACACAATTCCCAACTTCCAATCCGTGCACTTTGTGCACGGGGAATTTTATCTCAACTCCTAAATAGAGATAAGCCTACACCTAACACGCGTTGCCGGTTTAGTCTTTCGCCGATTGAAAAAGACACCAGAGGATAAGTCAGCGCCTAACACGCGTTGCCGGGTAGTCTATTCCCGTGAGAAAGACGAAGTCTACGTATTCAATATCGTAGCACTAAAAGGGTTAACTCTTTTAGCTTGACGTCACATGAGAGCGGGATTAAACAAACCGCATACTAGCCCGACTCAAACGGTAGTCGGTAAAGGCTAATCAAATCCGTTGAAGGCTGGGGATTAGCCAAAAATCCTAAAGTCAACGCCTAACACGCGTTGCCGGGTAGTCTATTCCCGTAACAATGGCGAAGTCTACGTATTCAATATCGTAGCACTAAGAGCGTTAACTCTCTTAGCACAACGTCACATGCGGAACGGATTTAAACAATCCGCATGCTAGCCCGACTCAAACGGTAGTCGGTAAAGGCTCATCAAACCCGTTGATGGCTGAGAATTTGCCAAAAATTCTATAAATACGAGTCATTGACGCACCAGCTCCACTAGTTGGTCTCGTGACTTGAGCATCCAACAAATTCAGGATAAGATCCACACATGCAGATGAATCAGCTTTAACGGTTGGTTCTGCAGCCCCAACATTTGGGACCGCCATGCTCCAATACCTTAAGAGATTAAACTGTGTATACTTCAGAAAATGTATGAGTATAAACTGTGTCAACGTACGACATTCGAAACCCTAAGGTCAACGCCGGTCAACGCGTAACCCTAGGTCAACGCCAGTCAACGCGTTGCGACAAAAAGTCAACGTTCGACGTTCGAAACCCTAGGGTGAACGCCGGTCAACGCATAACCCTAGGTCAACGCCAGTCAACGCGTTGCGACAAAAAGTCAACGTTCGACGTTCGAAACCCTAGGGTCAATGTCGGTCAACGCATAACCCTAGGTCAACGCCAGTCAACGCGTTGCGATAAAAAGTCAACGTTCGACGTTCGAAACCCTAGGGGCAACGTCGGTCAACGCGTAACCCTAGGTCAACGCCGGTCAACGCGTTGCGATAAAAAGTCAACATTCAACATTCGAAACCCTAAGGTCAACATCGGTCAACGCGTAACCCTAGGTCAACGCCAGTCAACGCGTTACGACAAAAAGTCAACGGTCGACGTTCGAAACCCTAGGGTCAACGCCAGTCAACGCGTAACCCTAGGTCAACGTCAGTCAACGCGTTGCGACCAAAAGTCAACATACGATGATCTGAAACCCTAAGTCAGCACAATATGACAGAGATAGTCAATTCAAAGTCAACTCAATGACACGAGCCGAACTCAACTCACTGGTGGTAGACTCGAGATTCCGACGACGGCCAGGCGATAAACGCAGCGCCGGAAGGACTTCGACTATTCATCAAAGCATTGAATAGACCGAAAATCGAAGGAGCCAAGAGTTGAAGCTAACTACAGGTCCTTTACGCCGACTGAAGGCTGGACCAATCATATCCAAAGTATTCCAGCCTCTTCTATAAAAGAAACGAGTCTGGAATGCTTTGGAGGGGGTATCTGTAGGCATCGAAAATCGCCTATAGGTCTCCACGAACGGCTCAGTGTTAAGAAACGACGATGAACGTCACTATCCGGTTCACAGGAGTTTAATTGATGTCGATGAACGCTTGAAGTAAATCGACGAACTACGTGAACTAACGAAGGTACGAGCTAATCGGGAACCCCGCGATGTTTACAAAAGGAACAATGCCCTTCATGTCTCATTCATTCTACAGATGATCCAACCATCAGAGCTGATAGAACTCCTTGTCGGCTTTCCAACACACTTCGAATCACTCAAATCCGAGTTCGGACGAAGGAATTACGACGGAAACAGATAAATACACCATATGGAGTGTCTCGGACCAACGAGACACCCTTCGGTGTCTCGGCTAAGGGCGAGACACCCTTGGGTGTCTCGGATCAATNGGGTACAAACTGTCTCGCACAGGTGCGAGACACCCCGAGCTGTCTCGCACTTGGGACGTGTTTTTGACGATCTTTAAGTGTTTTTAACCGCTCCGTTATCCCCTCAAGCCTATAAATACAAGCCTTAGGCCTTATTTTTTAGAGATCTAGAATTTTGATGCCTCGGCGAAGCCCTGCCAGATTGAAGACTTAAAGTGCACAGATTTCAGAGAGGAGGAGGAGAGATCGGATCGAGTTTTTCAACGCAAGAGAGAGAGAGAGATTCGTCAGATCTACATCACCCGCCTCCAATCCTTAGTATTATCCCGTTGTGGTAATTCTAAGAAGAGCAATTATCTCACTTTCGTCGAGATAAGCGCTTCTGTTTCTAGATCTCCTCACGGATCGACGAAGCTCTGTCTAATTTTTTAGCAATCAGATCTGATCGACAGTGGTCCACGGATAATCCCCGGCACAGGCAAAGATCCCACGCAAGTAGAAGACCGATAAACGATCTCTGCGTTTGTTTGATAAAGTTGTAGACTTTTTATTTTCATTGTGTAAGGAGATCTTATAAAAAGATCAACTTTTTTTTATTTCATTTGAGTTTATTGTAATGACTAAAGTTGTAATAGATTCGATAGCAATGAAGAAATCAACTTTTACCGCAAACAGAGATCTTCTCTCCCGTTGTCAAGATGACCTCTATCAGAACCGTTTTGGGTTTAGCTGCAAGTCTTGATTTGGAGTTGGAGCAGCTTGATGTAAAAACTGCTTTCCTACATGGTGCCCTGCATGAAGAGATCTACATGGAGCAACCTGAAGGATTTTAAGAAAAAGGGAATGAGAAACTTGTTTGCAAGTTGAAGAAGAGTCTTTATGGGCTTAAACAAGCACCAAGGCAATGGTATCGGAAATTTGATTCATTTATGACAAGCAATGGTTATAAACGAACTTCTGCCGATCCTTGTGTGTATTTCAGAAAGTTCCCAGGTGGTAATTTCATCATCCTTCTTTTATATGTAGATGATATGCTGATAGTTGGACAAGATACAGAGATGATTCAAAATTTGAAGAAAGACTTGTCCAAGTCATTTGACATGAAAGACTTGGGCCCCGCAAAGCAAATCTTAGGCATGGAGATTGCTCGTGACAGAAAAGTTGGAAAATTATGGTTATCACAAGAAAAATATATTGAACGGGTGCTTGAAAGGTTCAATATGAAGCATGCCAAGCCTGTTAGTACACGACTAGCAACTCATTTCATGCCAAGCAAGAGAGGTTGTCCTACAACAGAGAAGGAGAAAGAATTTATGTCATCTATTCCTTACTCTTCTGCTGTTGGTTCCTTGATGTATGCTATGGTGTGTACGAGGCCAGATATTGCATATGCTGTTGGTTTAGTGAGCAGATACTTATCTAACCCGGGTAAAGTTCACTGGGAAGCAGTGAAGTGGATCTTTAGATACCTGCGAGGTACTTCCAAATTGAATTTGTGTTTTGGGGGTGGCAAGCCTATTCTTGAAGGATATACTGATGCAGACATGACAGGTGATCTTGATAACAGAAAATCTACCTCAGGTTATGTGTTTACTTTTTCAGGGGGAGCCATTTCTTAGCAATCCAAGCTACAAAAATGTGTAGCAATGTCGACCACTGAGGCGGAGTATATTGCAGCTGTGGAAGCAAGCAAAGAGATATTGTGGCTTAAGAGGTTCCTTCGAGAGTTGGGTTTGAAGCAAGGTGAGTATGTAGTATTCTGTGATAATCAGAGTGCTATGGATTTGAGCAAGAATGCAATGTATCACGCTCGCATCAAGCATATTGATGTTAGATATCATTGGTTGCGAGATGTGATCGAAGAGAAGCAAATGAAGCTGAAGAAAGTTCACACTGACAAGAATGGTGCAGATATGTTGACAAAGGTAGTTCCCAGAAGTAAGCTTGTGCTTTGTAGTAAGCTTGCGGGGATGATGTTCAAGTGATCATCGAGGTGATCGTGTCTTCCCCCGTGATGGGCTGGAGGGGGAGATTGTTGTGGGTCCAGCCCACTTTGTGGCAAATATTAATTTGCAAGCCCAAAACTTACTTATTTGTTGTGGCACATTCTATGAGTAAGGTTTGTAGCTTCTTGGAGAAGCTTTGAGAGAGGGCCAGCTGTATCCCAATAAGTTAGAAGAGGGCTGTTGGGGACTGATCATCTTCCACACAAAAGAAAAAGAGAGGAAATCAGAGGGTTTGAGAGAGGCTGCCCCTGTTCGAATTCTCAGGACCAGTCTTCATCAAGTCGTCCGATCAAGGTGCAATCATGGTCCGATTTTGCTGAAACTTGGTCAGCTTGTTGGGGACACATAGGGCTTCAATCTGAACGGTTGGATCGTCGATGTGAGCTCCGGATCGTCGAGTATTGCAGCTGGACAGAACCTCTGTGTTTTGGTGATATTTCTCACTTTTGTTCCTCAAATGATGAATCTCTTATGTATGTTCCTGTTGGTGGGTTGTGAAACTTTGTGAGACTGATTTGGGTTTCTTTTACCCTCAACTTATCATAATAAGAGAAGAAGTGGTGGACTCCTCCAGTCCCGTGGTTTTTACTCTTCACATTGAGGTTTTCCACGTATAAATCGTGTGTTCTTTGCATGCTTTTATTTATCTGCCTATTTCGTAATGCTTGGTGAAAGTTATCGGATGTAACTTGGGTTTTGAAGATTGGTTGTCTTGTGTTGATCTTGTGGGTGTTGGTGTAATTGTTTACTACCCCTCTTGCGGCCCTACAGAGATGTTTTCCATTATGGCTAGCTAACCATGCATAATCAAAAGAGATGGAGCTAACCATGCATGTGCCCTTATTCTTGTTAGTTTTTGGGCCAAACAAGGCCTACAATCGCTGGTAATATTACATAGATTGGGTACTCCTGGAATCCTTCACCATTATGGGACTATTCACCACACGCTTGTTATCAGACGAGATCCATCTCAAATATCCCTCCGAATAACCTCCTCTCCCATATCCCTCGCTTGTGAACGTAACTGCATACTGCGCCTTCTCCTTCACCTTAGAGAAATACAGTTTCTCCGGCTCGACGATCACCTTCGTTCCTTTGGGAGCCTTTACCTTCACCTCATACGTGGATCCTGGCTCTCCGACGTTGGTCACTGTACGAGTGACTGTCACCGATCTTCTGACGTCCAAGATCACCATGAACGAAGGATAGTTCAATTCCGCACCGGAAATAGAAACGATGTTAGAACATTTCACAGTCCGACCAGCAATGGCACTGACCTGAGTATCAGAGTACCGCAGGCCGCAGAGATAAGGTATGTAATCATCGGTGGTGACATCGTAGATGAGACCAGGATCATTGGCTGATGTCGGGTTTACATGACCAGCTCCTGCAGCAAAAAGGTCTGCAGGTTTTAGTTGCTCATCAGGAATTGGAGTGTCCATGTTTGTAGTAGCGGTTGCAGTCGTCATGATTGCTGATTTGATTGCAGCAGGAGACCAATCTGGGTGCTGGCTTACGAGCAGAGCAGCGATTCCCGCTGAGATGCGGAGCTGCCATTGAGGTTCCCGAGATTATGTTGTATTTTACCCCAGGCGATCCGATGTCGAACGGCCATGCTGCAAGAATGTTGACACCGGGCCCGATTATATCAGGTTTCAAAATGTTCGGATCCGCTTGATTTGGCCCTCTCGACGAGAAGTAGGCTACTTCCGGGGCAAGCACGGCGCTTCCGATAACGGTGTTGTTGAAAGATATAGATGCCACGGGTGTTAGCGTCGATTTAATATACGACTTGATGGCAAGTCCATCAGAGTAACTTACGTAAGATGCCGGAAGAACATGTACATCCGGGAAAGTAGTATCTCCTTGTGCTTTGGTATTCGTCAGAATCATGCCAACGCCGCCAGCTTTCTTGACGACTTCGCCTTTCTGCACTCTGTTCAGCTTACCGACATCGCAGACGACAACCTTGCCTATGACATCTAGTATTGATAGCGAGCCCGGGGCGCAAACTGCAGCGTTTGAGGATCTTGATCCAGGATACGCGAGGGGTATTGGAATGGGAAGGAAGCCTTTCGGCTGGTAGATAGATTCTCCGTAGAACTGAGCTCCGTCGCCTAGAGTCACGGTCGTTCGGATTTTTCTATCAAGTGTGCTTGCACCGACTGTCATAATCCATGGAGCCTCGTTGGACAGCGTTGCAGGGGATGGACCAGTGTTCCCTGCAGAGCAGACAACGGTTATGCCCTTCGCAGTTGCTCCAAACGCACCGATTGCAAGTCTATCTGCGTAGAAAGGCTGTGAAACCCCGCCGAGCGAGAGGGAGATTATGTCAACGCCATCCGCAGCAGCAGTATCCATTCCAGCCAATATATCAGACACCGCACAGCCGTCCTCTCTGCAGACTCTATAGACTGCTATGTGAGCGTAAGGCGCCATTCCAGCAGCCGTCCCCTTTGCCTGCTCCTCAATGCTGACATTTGCGACGAACATGCCAGCTGCCGTGCTCGCCGTGTGGGTCCCGTGTCCTTCAACGTCATCTGGTGGTCCTTGCAAAGTGGCAGCAGAATTCTGTTTCATTGCGTTGAGTCCCCGTACGAACTTTCTAGCACCGATGAGTTTGTTGTTGCAGACGGACCCACCGAACTCACACCTCCCCTTCCATTTGGCAGGTGGAGAGGGGATCAGTCCATTGTCACGGAATGAAGGGTGGTCTGGTGCTATTCCGGTGTCAAGAACTCCGACGATGACCCCTTTTCCGAATTTCGAGTCGGTCCAGAGGCCGGTCTCATGTTGATGAAGGCCCAAGAATTCGTGGGTGTGGGTGGTTAAGAGAGGCACAACCCGGTCGGGGTACGCTTGAAGGAATCCTGGTTTGCACTCCACTTCAGCCAGCTCCTCTTCCGTCAGTCTAACTGCGAATGCGTTTATGACGTTGTGGTATGAGTAGATCAACCGAGGCTCGCCTGAGTTCAGGATGTTGGCGGGCAAGAAGGATTTGTACCAGGCCTCTTTGTGGGCTGAGGTTGAGAAAGATTCGGAGGTTTTGGTGTCTGGATGGTGAACGTGAACAATGTATGTTTCTAGTTTTGCGCTAGTCGCTTGAAGAACAGAGTTTGAAAGAAAGAGGAGAGATAGGGAGAAGATGAAGGAAAATTTTTGTCTATGGCTAAATTGGGGATTCATTGTTGAGGTGATCTTGTTGAGGTGGTTCCTCTACTTTCAGTATTTATGGAGGGAAGAAATGATGGTGGCAAACATCTAAAGAAAACACTGGTAAGTTTGCCTGCATTTTTTAAAATCATCACTTCTTATGTACTGTTTCTAACTCTGGTTTAAGCTGTATACGCAGCATGCAAGTTGCCGGTACGGTAGCTTGGAAGATTATATCACTTGAAATTGACGTCTTTACTGATTAGGGTTGACACGCGATAATGTTGATATATTGAAATTACTCCCTCAAATTATTGAAATTGCTTTTTAGTGTCTCAGATCCTCTTAGTTATCACAAGTACTCCGTGTAGTTAGTTAACATTTGATTTGTAAGGAATGTTCCATTTTAATTAGATTGTATTGTGAGGATATTCTCGTATCGTCAGCTCTATAGATGGAAACTCTTATGTTAAATTTTGTATCTTCATTCACATATTACTTTATACCCGGAAGAAAGAGGATTACATGGAGGTGAGATTGGAGTTTGAGAGATTAATTATAGCCCCCTATTGATTACTAATGGCATTGAGACCTGGTTATACTCCGAAGACATGGGAAAAATCTCATTAATTCCAAACCTTATTAGAGTTTTATGTCTCTGTGATTTTTTCTTTATCTTTTGTTTATATCGTTCATTCCTGGTTATTTTTATAATGTGTTGCTAGCCCTTATACCCCTCTGTTTAAGTTATTCCGAAGTCAAATTTACTTCTTTAAAACTCATTTAAAATCCATTTTCGCGTTTCCAGCTTAAACATGGTTTCTTTATACTCATTTCTTTAAATTTTTGTGAATTTAGGGGATGGAGAATAACTGATTGAGGATAAAAATATATCTCATGATGTGTAATTGATAACTAACCCTTAGCTTGAAATTTAGATGGAAATACTAACAAAGGAACTAATTAAACTTATCACTAGAGAAAGGGTATATAGTTCACGGAACCCTCAAAAAGTTTGGGCTGCCGTCCACCCCTCACTGGCGACCCAATAAGTTTGATCATTTTATTAGCTCCTCTAGCACCGTTTGTGAGGGTCAAGTGAAAAAATTCAAATGTTATGCGGGTTGCTACGAACTGCCCGAACTTATAGAAGATCGAATGACATTTTAAACAAGTTTAGCGAAATTTAATTTTACCCCAAAATAAATTGCATCTCATGTTTAATGAGATTGAGGCTATAATCAGGACATGACCTCTAACAATTAGATCAAAACTTCAAAGTTGTGATTGAGTTTTCTTTTTATGGGCGGAAAACTAGACTCATGCAGCGGTGTTAAATTTTTGAAAATGCGCTTTAAATTTGTGGCTAGTGGGATTTGAATCTGGATTGCTCTGATACCATCTTAAAATCCCTCTAACTATTATACCATAGCTCCGAGAGTGTGATGAGGGTTGATGGTTATATTTTTTATATTCTAGCAGTGTTATAGTAAATGGTTTTTAAAATATGTGGTAATTAATTAAATGAAGCAAAGTAGATTAAAAAAAAAGAATCCTGCCGCCTATGAGATTATATAATCAAGTATTTTGGGATCTCATAAGTGGCCACATGCCACCTTCAGCTACAACTACAAGTTATAGTATATTCACTTTAGATAATTTCTAGCGTCTACGCAACTTCAGTTTTTGTTGGTTTCAGGAGTGTAGGCCTAAACCTAGAACAAAATCAAAAGCTAAAAAAAACCCAGACCGATCGACCAAAGGGAACATCTGTCGACCGATTCGAACACCAGGAAAATAGGAAAGTCTATGTTCGGTCAACCGATACAAATTATCAGTCGACTGATAATGTGCACGAGTAGTCCTGAGAAAAAACACCTTCTGGTCGGTCAACTAACACGAAGCGATCGGTCGACCGATATCAGTTTTTCCAGTTTCTGGCCCGTTTGAAAACCTGTTTGAGTTAGGATTATATATATATTCGTAAACATTTTAGGGTTGAAAATACACGAAAAAGAGAGTTTTTAGAACACTTTGAGATTAGAGATCTTAGAGAGAGTGTGGCCTATTGTAAGCATTATAATCTTCTTCAATAATCAAGGAATTTCTGGTGTGGCTCCCGAGGACGTACGCACGTTTGCCAAACCTCGTTAAATCTGGTGTTCTCTCTTATATTTATTATTTCCTGCAAGTTTTTTGATTCACTGTAATTTCTTGCTTGCTAATTGTTCGTCACAAGATCCAGAGGGCACGGGTTATCGATTGTTCAACCCCAACAATTAGGAGATTGGGTCTTATAATGATTAGGAGTTTAAATCCTATTCTAATTAGGAAGTTAGGCTAGAGATAGAATTTTGGTTTCCGTATATATATTCTTCTATTGTTAGAGGAAAACTAAGCAGAGGAGAGAGAGTCAATATTCTTATAATCTAGGGTTAGCAAAGGGCAAAACCTGATTCAAGATTATTGTGCGAGAGATGAGAGTTTCGTAGTCTTTGTTCGTGTAAAAGATTACATCATTGAGAGAGAGTTTTGTAGCCTTTGTCCGTACAAAAGATTGTAAGGAGAGGGCTTTGGAGAGAATATGAGAGTTGATTATGTATGTAAGGTTAAGAGATTGAGAGACGAGAGTTGAGTAGTTCTTATTGTAGTTCTTCCTAATACGTAGTCGATTTCTCGTATTGTTGTCCCGTGGACATAGGTCAAAGCTGGTCGACCGAACCACGTAAATCTCGGTATTCTTTCTTATTGATTATGGTTGTTTTCTATCTTGTTGATTGTGGGTTGACTTCCGAGTTATATAAATCGTAGTAGGTGGGGAGACTAAATTCCCTAACAAGTGATATCAGAGTCATGATGATGGATCCGGGAGCAAGTTTGTAAGATAGAAGACGACGTCGTGCAAGATTGAAGATCAATGTTACAAGAATCAAGATGAAGAAAAAGACGAAGAAAAAAACACACACGTAAACGTTTTCAGGGTTGATAATACACAAAAAGAGGGTTTTGAGAGCACTTTGAGATCAGAGATCTTAGAGAGAGAGTGACCTATTGAAAGCTTTGTTATCTTCTTCAATAATCAAAGAATTTCTGGAGTGGCTTCCGAGGACGTAGGCACGTTTGCCGAACCTCGTTAAATCTGGTGTTCTCTCTTTTATTTATTCTTTCCTACAAGTTTTTCCATTTTTTGTGATTTTTTACTTGCTAATTGTTCGTCACAAGATCCGGATGGCACGAATTGTCGATTGTTCAACCCCTAACAACTCGTATCAGAGCTTCATTCAGCAAGTGTGAGAACTATGGCAGAGGAAAGAAAATCGAAGATGGAGAAGTTTGACGGATCAGACTTCACCTACTGGAAGTCGCAGATGGAGGACTATCTGTATCAGAAAGATCTTTACTATCTGTTGATGGAAAAAGCTAAGGGAAAGAAGAAGAACGAGATCGACGAGGACTGGGAAATACTGGATCTGATGGCTCTAGGGCAGATCCGGTTGTCGCTCGCAAAATCAGTCACCCACAACATATTGAAGGAGAAGACGACTATGATACTTATGGAAGTGCTCGCAAAGATGTACGAGCAACCGTCAGCTGCAAACAAGGTTCATTCGTCAAGACACTCTTCAACCTCAAGATGACAGAAGGATACTCCTTCACGTTGTATCTCAGCGAGTTCAACACGATTGTTGATCAACTCATCTCCGCCGACATCATGTTTGATGATGAAGTACAAACCCTACTGATACTATCGCAGTTGTCGGATAGTTGAGCAGGTTACGTGACCGCAATTAGTAACTCGGCAGGAAAGGAGAAGTTAAAGTTGAGCGATGTTGTCAGTATGATTCTATCCGAGGAGGTTAGAAGGAAATCGTCCAAATCAGAAGGTTCAGGTTCAGTCCTAAATTTCGAGCAGGGGCCGAAGTCAGAGCAAGGGTAACCATAACTTGAAGCGGTCGAAGTCGAAGAAGAAGAGGTCGAACTCAAAGGTGGGACCCATCAAAAGAAAGTGTTAGAACTACGGCCAGAAGGGCCACATGTCTTTAGTTTGCAAAGCGCTAAAGAAGGATGCAAATGAGCAGGAGGCTCATATTGTGCAAGATGCCTTGATCTTTGCTATGGATAGTGACACTGATTCATGTGTTATTGATTCGGGAGTCTCATTCCACGCCACTGCTAATAGGAAACTTCTTTAAAACTATGTAGCAGGGGACTTTAGGAAAGTGTACTTGGGGGACAATGAACCTTGCAGTATTGTGAGAAGAGGCGATGTGCAGATTCAGATGAAGGGTTCTAAGTGGTCTCTGAAGAACATTAGACATGTACCGAAGCTAAAGAGGAATCTTATTTCAGCTAGCCATCTTGGAGCAGAAGGCTATGTTTCGACATTTATCGGGGATTTGTGGAAGATCTCCAACTGTACATAGGTGGTTGCTCACGGCAACAAAACCGAAACTCTCTATTTAACTTCACATGTGAGTGACACCCTCGCAATTGCAGCTAGCAAGGAAAGTATAGATCTGTGACACAATAGGTTGGAATACATGAGTGAGAAGGGTATGAAGATTCAACGCTCTCAGAAAAAGCTATCCGGCATAGATTCAGTGGAAGTTGGTGTTTGTGAAGACTGCATCTACGGGAAGCAGAAGAAGGTTAGCTTTTAGAAGAGTAGAAGACCACCCAAAGCTCACAAGCTAGAGCTTGTTCATACAGATGTATGGGGTCCAGCTAGCGTGTCTTCTCTTGACGGTTCGGCGTACTATGTCACCTTTATCGACGATCACTCGAGGATGGTGTGGGTATACTTTATGAAGCACAAGTCAGAGGTGTTTGGGATCTTCAAGAAGTGGAAAGCCATGGTAGAGAACAAGATAGGTCTGAAGGTGAAGTGTCTGAGATTGAACAATGGTGGAGAATACGAGTTGGAGGAGTTCAAGAAGTTCTATGCTCTGAATGAGATTCGCTTAGAGAGGACTACTCCAGGAACACTGCAACAGAATAGCATTGTAGAGAGAATGAACAAAACATTGACAGAGCGTGCGAGGAGCATGCGTCTACATGCAGGTCCACCTAAGATGTTTTGGACGAACGCGGTG